CTTAAGTTGGGAAATAAAATCAGAGATGAACCTGGTCAGCAACAATTGAATTAATTAACGCAAGTAATTTAATTCACATTGTCGAAGACAGCACAAATCCATTTCTGTACTGGGCTCAAGAAAACTACGCAACCAACACTTCTGTAGATGAATGGGTCCTTTTTTCATGAATGGCTGCAGTGGGTATCCTTCTGTGTTCAGTGGCCTCTTCCGAACAAGAATAAACCATGCCAGATTTTATTGAAACTGGTTTTCCATACTGGTTAGTGAAGTTAGTCTTGAAACCAGTAAATCACCCCTTAACAAGGATTCTTTCTACAACTAGAGTGGAGAATGTTTGTATCTCTCAAATTTTTAAATGTTTGCAACATAGTTGGTTATTTTTTAAAAGCATGCTTAGCATATTTTTGCTCTTTCAATAAGTACCACTTTTTGCAAATTAACCACAATTTTGTATATTATTCAATTCCAAGAATGCTACTGATAAGATGGCTGACTTGGTTTGATCTCCTTTGAAAAAAAGCATCATCATTATAACGCCTCTAGATGCGAAAGAGAGATGTCAAGTGTGGAATTAAGAATTTCAGTAAAATAGATCTTAGTGCAAGGAAATTTTTTGCTTATGTCCACCAGTTATGTCTGAAGGGGCGAACCAAGCCGATACTGCTTTGTGAGGTTTTACTATGCAGCTGTTCTGCCCTCTGTTTTATGTTTATGTTTTAAATACTTACCTTTGCCTCTGTAAGAGGGATGGAAGGATGGATAGCTTGACAGATAGCTTGATAGATAGCTAGCCAGCCAGCTAGCTGATGGATGGATGGAAGGTTGGATGGATGGATAGATAGATAGATAGATAGATAGATAGATAGATAGATAGATAGATAGATAGATAGAGCAAGAAAATCTATTTATAGGTAGGTGGCAATGTTCTTGGTCAAAGGACCCTCACTTTTTGGAGGTTTGCAGGTTTATGGTGATCCTTACAGGATAGGGAAATTGTCTTCTGTGCCAGTTTATTAGAAAAGTATATTAATTCTCTGGTTATCACACACAAAAATTGTGCCAGTCATTGCTTTCCTCCCTCCGTCCCCAACACTGTGCTGTGTGGGAAATGCTAATGTATAAGATTATTTACATATATCTAATTAGTCTTTTAAGACATAGCTACAATTGTCCATCATCTTCAGCAAAAGGCATCTGTTAACATTCTTCATACGAAGTTACATAAGATTATATTTACACAAGTGGAACAAAGGTTCATTAGAAACCAGATGCTGCCCCTCCTTTGCCTCTTTCCCCCAGTGGAGTATTTCTATAAATAATCCATTGATCCAAGACCATGGTAGAGTCAGCATTCCTGTCTCAATTTTTCCATATTGTGCTTTTCCATAATATTCGTCTGCCTGGTGTTTATGAACATTTACCTTGGAGCAGGTGAGATGTCAGCTGATTTCTTCTATTTGGTTGTTCCTGTCCTTCCCCTCCCTCAGAGCTTTTAATATGACTTCAAGGAAGAGGAGAGCAGTTCATTTGAGAGGGGGCCAGAAATCCTCCCCTCTTTATTGGCCACCGCCTGGGTGAGTGACAGGTCATTGGCCAAGAAAAACGGGAAGCTAGTGGTGATGGATATGAGTTAAAATCATCTCTGGAAGGAATCTATGGGCGAAAAATAAACATGATTTTTCTGCCCAATAAAAGAGAGGCCAAGATATGAACACCTAAAAAAAATGTACTGGAATCCCCAAAGCCCTAAGAAATTCATAACTTTGCTCAGGGTTTAAATAATCATTTTATTAAAATAATCATTTTAAAAACGCTGATTTATTTTGAATTCTTCCCCGTGTTTAAACATAGGAATATAACTAATTCGAAAAGTATGTGTGATTAATATCTCAGAGTCAACAGAAGTTTCTGTATTTTTCAGCAGAAGAATGAAAAATGTCTCTGTCTTGAGTATGCTCACCTTTTTACTCTGGGTCACAGATAACGTGGGTTGGCTGAGCCTCACTAGCTCAGAGTGATCTTCCAATAGTTGGTGGATTTCTAAAAACTGAAACACGGTATTAAGAAGACCCCACACTCTCCGCAGGTCTGTTTCCATTGAAAAGAAAGCATCACGGTTGCCACATCCTCATCCATCAGATGAAGAGTTTCCCCTTCTGACGAGAGGCAGGACAGATACTAATTCTCTTTAACCCGCTTAATGATTTGCATCCTTCTGTTTAGCAAATAGATTTTAAGGCTTTGCCTGCTTGTAGAAAATATTCAACTGCCCTTTGAATATTTGAAAACTTTCAAATGTTCTTTTTTATACCGAAATAGAGGCTGAGGTGCATTCTTCACAATATGGTTTGCAAAGAGACCCGTGAACTTGAGTTGCTTTCTTGGGTCGTGTTCTCCTCAGTCCTCATATATTGTAATGAGCCGCCCTGAGTCTCCGGCGAGGGGCGGCATATAAATTTAATAAATAAATAAATTTAATAAATAAATTTAGCTCAGGGGTATCAAACTCAAGGCCTACGGGCCGAATCTGGCCCACTGGGTGCTTAGATCTGGCCCGCCCTGGAAACTGGCAGAGGGCTGTAGGAGGCCGTCGCGGCCAAAAACGGAGCCTTGATGACGTTGAGCTGGCCACGCCCACCCTGGCCACACCCACTCAGTCCCCCAAAGTCAAACACAACCCTGATGCGGCCCTCAATTAAATTGAGTTTGACACCCCGGATTTAGCTAATCTCAGCTCTTATCCTGCCTGGCGTGAAGAATGGCAGAAAGAAAATGGAGTCCAGAGCTAATGGCTACTTGTCCGTGCAGGAACTAATTGATTGTTGCTGATGATTGTTGCTTGATGTCCTTCGGACAGTAGGACTTTTTATCAAGGACATTAGATGAAATGATTCACAGAGCACCTGCTGTCTGAAACTCCCTGATAAGTTTTGCTTTAGAAAATTTGCGGCTCGTCCCTCTCTTGATTTCTGGATTTTGCTGCTTATCCTTTATCCGTGCTTGGACATACAACATTGACCCTGGGATTCTGTTATTCCCCTCAAGTTTTTAAGCATGGCTTTTCTGGGATGAACCTCTTTGAATTTTAGCTCTGAGGAAGCAAAAAAAGGTAATCATATTATGCTGCCATTAATATTTATTCCTGAGAAGCAGTTCAAGTCCATCTGTTATAGGCATATCTCAAACAAGAGTCATCTTTGCTATTTTGCAGATGAAATAATTTGGATCCCTTATCCTAACCTGCTCTTCTTCTTATCCACACTCACCCAACAAAACTCACACATGCCAGTTGCACGCAGATACACACACACACACACACGTACACACACATTTTTTCCTCCTAGCTGCTGCTTAATCTCTCCTCCTGCAACTCCCCCTTGAGCTTCAGGTATTAATATCTGGAGCCATTTCGAGTGAAATCATTTCCCCTCGGTGCTGTTAATGAATCCAGCACGTGCCGTGTCTATCAATGGCTGCATTGAGACGCTCATCCATCCATGGAGCTTCCATAGTCGCTTGAATCTTGGCACTTCTGCTCGTACACATGGAGCTCTAAGGGAATGCATCCTGCACGTAGCTCCAGCCCCCTTGGAGTACTTTTTGCCGGGCTGAGTTGAAGAAGGGAGTTGTGGCATAGAAATTGTGCGATAGAAAGCAGCAGCGTAAACAGGGGTTGGGGAAAAAAACAACACAGGGAAAACCCACTTTCTCTGTAGTGTTGGGGGTCCAGACCCTCTTGAGTTTCTTCAGTAATTATTAATGGTGGACATCAAAGACAGATCTTCCCTCTTTATTAAGTTGATTAAATGCCACAAGGCTCACAATCAGATGGTCCAGACGAAGGAGGAGGAGGAGGAGTTCCCCATTTTATGTCAAATGTCTTCATTTAATTTTTTTTTTTTTTTCCTATTCAAAGGAAACTACAGAATGAAGTAAAGCCCGAGTTTTCCATTAATTAGATTGCAGGAACCCCTCTTGTTGCCATGAAGTCTTCAGGGGGTTCTTTAAACTGACAGCCTGGGAAAGTGAGCCGGACATTCTGCATGAGGGAGGGATGGGGGTTGATAAACCGTGGGGCATCCCAAGAAGTGGCAGTGTGAGGGTTGCAAATGCCACGTAAAGCCCTGCCAGTGGAACTGGAGAGGCTGTTGAAGTGGAGCAGATAAGGCTGGTCAACGTGTCCTTAAACAGCCTTTTGGCATAAAAATGTAGAACGAGGGGTTTTCCTATCCACTTAACAGGATGCACAATGAAACCTGGCCCCCTTTTTGAAGGAAGGAAGAAGTTTATTCTTGCAGGAGTGTCATTTGCAGTCATGCTTGCCTGAGCATCCTTTGACGAGTATTTGTCACACGTGTTTTGGTTTTGCCGTGGTTGGATTATCCTAAACCGTAATGGGCTCTCTTTGACCTTGGCTTAGAGTAATAGATGAACCTAGCCATAAACCAAGATGCGTGGCTTAGAGCAGTCTATGAAGTAGGTCACTCAGGATTGCCCAACAGGCCATAGTGAAAACATTTTCATTTATTCCCACAGTGGAGCTCCTTCACTGAGTGGAAAAAGAGGCCATCTATTTTCAACAGAGGAAGTTGAGTCACTCTTTGATTTCAGGAATTAGTAGACTAAATTTTCTCTCCCCCCATATTTAGCTTGAATTGGCTAAAAAAAAAAAAAAAGATGGAATAATTCTGCCAGGGGTCAGAGGACGTTACATAATTCTACTGAAGTAGTCAGCTCCTTGAAAGAATTACGAGTTCCAGAAATGGAACAGAGTTCAGAATATGATGGATTACAAGCTTTTGCATTTAATACATCACAAACAGCCTTGAAACCAAAAAGAGGGAAACCTCTCCACAAATTTGTGCTTGTAACACTTTCCACGGAGCAACTCGCTTAAACTGCCAGGTGTGACTTAATGGATGGCAAAAGAGCTTTTTTGAATCTCGTTTATTCTGGGTTTTTTTTCCTCCCCCTTTCCCGGTTTACTCTCTTTGCAGTGTTGTCCCTCAGACCACAGTAATTCTCAACAACGACCGTCAGAACTCGATTGTAGCCAAGATGGTGGGGCAGGAAGAGCCGTTAAGCCGAGCAGCTGATTCACTGGAAAATATCCTTAACAAGTTAGTAATGGCGGAGGTCTCTTCCCTCCTTCTGTCTGCAGGCACAGGAAACTGCATGAAGGTCAGCTTAACCCTTGCTCCAGCTAGCTAAATGATGCACTGGCTTTCCTGAGTTTCAGTGAAGAGTCTCCCTAGGCCATGGGTCTTCGGAGCCCTGCCGGAAACTGGCTTGAATTTGGCTTGGCCCCCAGGATCAGTTGATGTCTCATTATATGACATCATGGTAATGCATTCCCATTTCTCATGGTAGCTCCTGGGTGCTCCTTCCCTTGGCTTGGGCCAGTTGGTACCTGATGGTCTTTATGGACTACAGGGGGTAGGAGTGCTGCAAGTTGTAATACCAATAGCCCTTAGACTTATATACCGCTTCACAGTGCTTTGAAGTCCTCTCTAAGCGGTTTACAGAGTCAGTATATGGCCCCCAACAATCTGGGTCCTTATTTTACCCACCTAGGAAGCAGGGAAAGCTGAGAGAACCTTGAGCCGGTCAGGATCGAACTCCTGGCTGTGGGCAGAGTTAGTCTGCAATGCTGCATTCTAACCACTGTGCCACCAGGGCTCCTGTAAGACGGCCAATGTGGGCTAGAGAGAAAGAGAATCCACATGTGGACCCCTGCACAAATCCGTGACACCCTCCTCTTCTTCTTCTTCCTCCTTCTCCTCCTCCTCCTCAGTGCTGTTCCCGGGCGGAGGCAGAACACCATTGTGGTCAAAGTCCCAGGGCATGATGATAGCCACAACGAAGACGGAGAGAGTGGTTCTGAAGCCAGCGACTCGGTTTCAAACAGTGGCCAGCTAGGAAATCAGAATATTGGGAACAACGTCACTCTTATTACATTGAATTCTGAAGGTAAGTAAATCGTCTTTGAAATCTTTGGCCTAATCCCAGTGTTGGAGCCCTTTTAGTTTTAGGTCTTCTCTTTAAAATGCCATGTTTTCTTTGCCTCAGAAGAGGAAGCAGTTCTTCGGCGTCTCATACATAGCTTGATTTGGCCCTGGGTTGCAAAAATTCTGTTGTTAGCATCTAAGATTTTGCCCTATCATTTCCCAAGTTTTCAGTAAAAGCTTTGGGGGTCATAGAAGAGCTTTAGGCCAGAGGCCTCTGCTTTCTCCTTAAATCAAACTCACAGCCTGAGGCCTTAGGGTTACATAGAGAGGTCAAACATTTTAGATGTGGCTTCCAGAACCCCTTCTGAAATCGAACAGCTAAGACCCCAGGTGTGTGCCATCCCTCATGTCTTAATTTCATTCAGATACCATATTTTGATGGGCATGAAGCAGGAGATTTCGTAAGCAACCTGTTGTCTTAGCATCAACTTTGTCTGGGCTTGGAAGCTCAGCTTTCGGTGATGGACCATTCCCTGGCTGTAGAGTAAAGGGAGAGGCAAAGATACCTCCCACAAGAAGAGAGCGCAGAATCACTTCTACCTTGCTGCCCAGAATACTGCAAGATCGTGTCCAAGGATTACTAGAGTTGAGCTTCAATTGAAGAATATTTAAATATATATGCGGTGAGGGACAAATATAGGCTTCAGCTGTCTTTGCTGTTATGGATCAACCTTGGAAACATTATGTATGGACTTCAACTCCCAGAATTCCCCATGCTGGCTAGGGAATCCTGGAAGTTGACATCCATAGATCTTAAAGTTGAGAAACACTGATCTAAATAGATCTTTGAGTCATGTTTAGAACAGAATCCATTTCCAGGGCAATTTGTGAACCTCAAATTAAGAGTTTTCATTTGCAGTTAAAAAAAAAAGACACAAAGGCTTTCAAAACTCTGATCTGATTCTGCAGTTGGGTCTCTATGTGGCAAACCCGGCTCCATGGAAAGGAATGTGTTTCTTTAGGAAGCAAGAGAAGATGCCAGCAGACTGCCTGCTGAAAGTTATTATGCCCTTCTGGTGAGCTTGAACTTTCCTGAAAGTAAACAGTTACTTTGGCAATTCTAAACAATATTTTTGAAAACAGGAAATTCCCATCGAAAATGTATTGTATACACAATAGCCTTGTCAGCAATTTATCAGTTTCCAACCTCCCACCCCCCTCCCAACCTCTGTTCTGCTCTTCAAATCCCAAAAACTCACCATTGCTGGAATGCAACCATTTGGAATATGCCTCAAGATTCTCTCATTTTATGATGCGTATTAAATTCACATATACTTCAGCATTAAACGTTAGTGCAGGGCAGAGACAGCTGTGGAAAGAATACAGAGTTAAGATGACATTGTTGATTGAATTTGTTAGAGGGAAGGAGATGCCATAATTCTGAACAAGAACCATTAAGCCATTAAAGGTAAAAAGTCGCAGGGCAGACTCCGTTTTTTGGACAGCAGGCAGGGAGATGTGGTTGAAGATGATGCCATTTATTAAAGCTGCAAAATTGGGGGGCTTCCCTTCAGCTTTGCTCACTTTTATTTCCCTCTTAAAGAATGCAAGCACAAAAGTAGATTCAAAAATTCAGATTCTTCATTGTGTAAGAGTTTTAAAGCAATAAATAAAACTTTATAGAATTTGTGCGAGAGTGTGTTCTGTTTGCAGAAATTCAGATGTAACTGGGATTATGATCTGTCTCCCAGTGGAAACTAAAATCATTACCTAATAGTAGTTTAATTGTGTATGTGCTGGACAATGGTTGAAATCTCCTCGCTCCAGTATATATAATAGAAAAGGCAATAATTTTGAGTCATTTTCTCAGCTGTTTATTTAAGAGAAGTGGTTTTTGATGTAGTAAAAAAAGACTTCGTTGCAGCCTGACCTTTTCAGCATAATTTGTTGGCGCATTTACAGGCAGACAGATGTTGGCTTTTTAATAGGATTATTGTATATATAAAAATGCTGGACTTAACCAAAGGAAAAGACTTGAGAATATATAGTTTCCTGATTGATCAGTTCAAAGCGGTACTTTTTAAGTAGGAAAAAATTTAATAAAGTCGTGGTATAAGTTTAGGTCTGGTTCAATTGAATGTCAATGTCTTCTTATACTTACGAGTTTTGCTGATGGTTAGACCGCTTCACCTTTTTCAGAGATGTTAGGCGCTGTTTATTTGTACCAAATAATCTAATTTTCTGCAACCTTATGTTTGGCTGTTGGGTTTCCTCAAGCATGGGGCAATCAAAAATCTTCAAGTGGCCTTAAGGTTTACCTTCTTGTTGTGTCCAACGAAGGCAACAACTGACAAATCATATTCATTTATGCCAAAGACTATCTTGCCTTCCATTTTAGATCATGTTGTCAGGGTTTCTGAACTCCAGCAGTCACTTATTCCTTCGAATAAGTCCCAATTTCTTCTTTCAGGATTTTAAAGAGTGTAGCATTTTCTGCACGGCATTGTACGACTTCTGTAATTTTGGTTCATTTCTTGGCTGCACTTATGCAAATGAGTGAATGGGGATTGATTCAGTAACAATCATTTTCAGAAGACGTGATCAGCAAAAAACTGTTAACGAAATAGGAAAAATTATTAGTGTTCTCAGAAACAAACTTGGCCAGTTGGTGACAGTTAATTAAACACTGCAGTTTGTACTTTCAGATTGATTCCAGGCCTATGGATGACAAACCTAACCATTATATAAGTCTCCATGCTTGAAAGTTGGGCAATTTAGACACCCATCTGTAGATAATTTACAACGCTTGAAGTAATCCCTCATTTCAGCAGGAGAAATGCTCTTCTCTTGTACTCATGGTGGTATTCACATTTTGCTGATAAAGTGGGAAAGAGATCAGATGTTGACACAATAGAGCAGGAAGGTATCTCCTCAATCAGCAAAAGCAAAGTTCTAAGACTGCTGGAGTGGTTGTGAGCTAAGCACTGAAGGAAGCAGCTCACCTCTTTATCTTTCTTTTACAAATGTTTATCTAAATGATCTGTAGAGACCACCAGGTGAATGAAGAAAGAGTAGTTCCCTGAACACGAAAGAGATCGGTTTGCGGGACTCCTTCGAACAAAGTTTTCCTTGGTTTTTCCCTGCCTTTTTTTTTTTAACTTCTCTTCTTCTTGTGTGACTTTCCTTACATGTCCTAAAGCCATTTTCCTGCAAATGATTTCCACTGTCCCAAGAATGCCATAGTTCTCCTTCTCCTGAACATTTGGTGGTAACTTTTTACATGTGCTTAGAAACCCTTGAGTGACACTATTCTGCCAAAATAATTTATGGTTCCCGGCTTCCAAAGATTGAGATCATTTTTCTTGGATTTGTTTTCTTGATCACATCTGAAGATCTGTCATCGTCATAAATCATCTCCATAATGTAAAAACAAACCAACCAACCATCCAAAACAACCAAGTCCCCAGCAATCAGCTTGTCTTGGCCAAAGATAATACACTGAGTGAACCAGCAGCCAGTATTATGGTAGAAATTGGACTTGCTGCGTTGGGGAAATCAAGGGAAGGTCTTCTAATGTGCTGAACATGACTGTTCAGGCATTTAACCAGGAATGAGAGTTTGAAGTAGGAGTTCTACTTTGGCTGGGACCAAGAATTTAACTGTGGAGAAGGGATGGTTGTGTGGGAATGGAGTCACTTAAAAGTTGCTCCTGTGTAGCACATTCAATTAACCAAATAGTCCCATATATGTTTACATCAAGGTGTAGTGCAGAGTCTCAAGAAAGAAAGAATCTAGCCATACACACCGCAGATTGGCTCAGGGCCTGTAAGGTCAAGTATGGAAGGAAGTCCTGATGTGCCCAAAGATGCTCCTATTGCTCATGTTCGGAGTTTGTCATCTCTGAATTCGGGCTTTAGCAAAAATGCAACTGTTCCTTAGATAAATTATGGACCTAAAAATCCCTCTCTTCATATAAGCTGTCCAAAGGTACAGCTTCAAAAAGTGGAGGCATAGGAAAGACTCATGGCTGTCCCTAATCTCTTGTCTGAAAGCTTCTTGCCAGTCACCGTGACAAGCACAACGCTGGATCTCAATGCCTCACACATAAAAATTGATGCTTTTTATCAAGCTCATGCCGCATAAATAAAGCCCTTAGACTGAGCGAAGTGATAAAATTCAGCTGACACGCAGAGATTTGAATGAGCGTGCAGGAGCATAGAGCTTAAGCAGCTTCAAATAGAAATAAAGCTACTTTCCCCCACTGTGTTTTTCTCTTCCAGGATCTTCTGATAAGCATTTCTATTGTCTGGGAGAAACAAGGGGGGAAATTAACGTGAGAAGTATAAAGAATGTTGACTATTGTATTTGATTTCCATCTGCTCTCAATGTTTTTTACTTTGAATATACCCAGGCACACACACAGGTGCAAATGCGCGCGCACACACACACACACACACACACACACACACGAAGATGTTTGTCTTGGTCAGAGCTGTTTATTCCTACCCGAATCTCCTATCACAGGTATTTAGTTGTCCTCCCTCCTGGAGGAACTTCCTCTGTGATGGTGATAGCGTGCAGAGAGGTATTTCTGCATGCTATCTCAATTTCTTTTCAATTTCCATGCGAAAGGGTGACAATGGAGGGAGAAGACCTGTGGACAATGTTGCTAGAATGGGCTCAAACCTGCAACCCTCAGTTGGCCCTTAAAGAGTTGGCATCACTTTCGGTGATCAAGACCCTCAGAATCTCCTCCACGGGGGCTGCTCTGAACCCAGGGTGGGGACCCTACTATATATTAGTGTGTTTGCAGACGCAGCTTCATACCTACAATGAAGAAAACCGAATATGTGTCGGCACAGCTTGCTAATTTCTGTGTTGCTGGATTTGCTTGATTCATTCCTCTCTCTTTTAATTTTTTTTAAAAACTTCTTAAATTGTTTTTCCATTCCGCTTAGTTCTAATTGGATACATCTTTCTGTAATTATCGTTTCTTGTGTTGCCACTTACATGCTTAAATTT